TCATTGCTAGCAATATAACTATATAAAAAATTAAAAAAAAAACAAGATTGTATGGAACCTCCTTTATAATATCATTGAGGACAACTAAAAAAAACTATTAGATTTAATCATTTTAGTCTAGAGTGGTAGATATATGTACATATGTTGATATATCTAATCGCCTATAGATAAAATGGTGAGTTTTTTTCTCTTAATGTTAGAGTCTTGTTGTGATCTTTCAGTTTGATCAAAGTTTCTTTCGATATAATGATTTGTATATAGAACAGTTTCATCAAGAATTTCATTTGTAATGAAAAATTGAAAAGCATAAAGAATGATTTGAGCTTTAGTAGTAGGACCTAGATTTTTTTAATTATATTAACAGCAGAAATTCAACCTTCTAATGAACGTGGACGTGTAAACCATAAAGCACCGCTCTTTTCTATTGTTTCAGGTTGACTATCTGTAATAGTGCTACGTTGACCAATATCGGAGTCTGATGAATCCAATTGTTCTAATATATGTTCATCAAGGGGGTGTATCATCTGATTCAGTAGCTACAATGCCATATTCACAATCAGAATATGGATATTGATTTATATTATCATCAATTTCATTTTTGTCTGTCAAGAACATTTCTTGAATCCGTTTGAAATTTAATTAATGAACTGTTCTGATGTCATATAAGCAGATATATATTAAAATGTAGATTTTTTTAAATTTTTCTTACATTTTGATAAATAATTTCAAACCCCGCACAAATGTATAACTAACAACAGCCGTCAATACGGTTTTAATCAAAAAAATTAAAAAATCCGACATGACTATAAGAAAATATAAATCTTTATCGTAAATAATGAACTTACCAACGAATCAAAACGAATCGATTTAAAAAGCAAAGGTGAAGATAGCTGATGACAGCTTCAGTAACACACCAAGTAATGCTTACAATATTGTTTTTGTCGTCAGGTTCATGCGGACCCATAGCACAATTTTTCCTCTTTTGAGCTTATCCGTGATTTCTCATATGCGTATAATCCACCAGCATAAGACTAGAGATTATATGAGAGGACTAGTCCGAAATAGGAAATCTTAGTGTAGTAATTCAGGAAAAACTGTAAAATGGGCCCATTTGAACTCCAGAACAACAGTGAAGGGTTAATTAGTACTATCAAGTTCGCTATACTAATCACAATTATCTATCTCAAAAGTTTCAGAAGTTTAAGATGGAGGTAATATGAAATTCGAGCATTTTTTTTCCTTTCACAGGTAATCGGATGCAGTTCCACGCGCTGAATCAGAATGTATCTGTATAGTATGTTCACAGACAACCAGTTTTTGACATCAAAAAGGCAAAAAACATCACAATTCAAGGTTAAAAAAAGCCGGTATTTGTAGAAAAGAAAGATTTCCTTTTAATATAGGTGATTAACTGATTTAAAAAAATGCTTGCTAATGATTTAGCTCTTGTGCGTATGTTTCAAAAATGTAGTTTAGGCCAACAGCTAAAAAAAGCACTTTTTTCGATAAGAAATCCATAAAGTAATATTGAAATCGATGTATAACTTAAATTTCATTGCTGCTAGATCCCTCACATTAAGCTAATACAATTTAAGCATTTATTCTTTTAGCCCTCTTTGTTGAGCTAGGGCATTTATTTTCACAAGATGCTTAATCAGTCAGCTGGAGTGTGGGTGCGATTCTTCTATTCTTCAACACCCACTCAGACCCAGACGCACACTTCACCCTAATCCAGCTCGCTTCCAAAATTTGATCTGAAATTAAACTTCAGCCGATTTCAAGACTCCCACCAACAATCGAAGACCTGTTACCCCCAAAAGACCTCATTCCAAAGAATCTCCAATCCCACCTTGTCTATCAAATTAATTGTCAAGATTGCGATGCTATATATATCGGTAAAAATAATTCACGAGGCAGCTCGATGGCACCATGAACATGGCGCATCAACACTATCCAATCAATCTATCCATCCTGAACACGATTCTCAACCGATATCTCCTTCTCCAACAACTTTCTGGCGCTCCAGTCGTCTAAAAGTCATCAAAAGGCAGAATTACTCCTTCTTGAATGAATCATCAACAAACAACAAAGCCAAAAATTCAAACATAAAATCTGCTCTTCATGATCACGAACAGGAACGTAGATACAAGATAAACTGGAATAAATGGAAAATTCTGCCTAAAGACCCACATGCATACAAGCTACTAATCCGTGAATCTTTAGAAATACAGCGACTCCAACCTACACTAAACAAAACCACTACATCTGTTCCACTTGTAGTTTACCTAGCAGGGCGTAAGAAATCGAAAGTAACAGTCAAATTCAAAGGTGACAATACATAATACACCATCGACCTGGCGACGACATTTATCTGAACGTTCTGATAAATAACTAATTGGTAATTATAGGTCTGATGTCTCATTATTCTATAATGTACTTCAACGGATATATATATATATACATCTATTTTCTAATTCTGATGTGCTTATTTTTGTCTTCACAATGACTCTAGAAGAAGTCGAAACGCTAGCATTATCTTTTGTTCAATAAATAAAAATAAAGTTTTTTACTAAAATATGCAAAATCATTCCTACTCAACTGTATTTTATTGGTATGAAAAACATTTACTCTGAAATATCTTCAACCAATGAAAGTACCTCTCTTATTATTTTTATTTTCATTTAGGGTGTGGGGTGGGTGTGGATCTTCTCTTCACTTACACCCACAGCCACACCCCACACACATACCCTCAGAACTACTAAGTGTTGTTTAGCTGTTCTGGCCATGACTCGAGGATGACGACACCTTAAGATGTCGTCATCCTTGAGTCATGGTCAGAACAGCTAAACAACACTTAGTAGTTCTGAGTGAAACGAGTAACATCGCTTAGATGAAGAAAAATCACAAATTTTTGGCGCAACCATAGTAGAGAGTATCAAATTGATTTTTCGTTTTCTCAAAGAATTCTCGATCTATATGGCTGAATTTTTTAGAGAAGTTGAAGTAACCAAAGATGTATCATCACTAAAACTATTAGACCGACTGCAGGTAGTATTGTGGAAAGATCGAAAAAACAAGGTGTTCCGTTTATTTTGACCAGGAGGATAGATTCAATAACAAACAAGAGAATAGTATCCAAACAAAATCATGAATAAATGCTTTGAGAAAGTTTCTATCAGAGTTTTAGTATTTGATTCAGATCTCATAGTCAAGTTGTGATGGAGCTTTGTGCTCATAGTTGGTATATTGCTGATCTGAAATGTGACCAATAAAACATAGTCGACTTGTTGAATAAATGCTAGAATGTCCTTTACGAAATGTTCCTGACTTTTCCTCCTCGTAAAAAAATGTCCCCGACATTTCGTCCTTCAAAACATATCCTTTAGAAGAATTGTCCTTAATGTAAAAATCCTCCTCACCCTTACGACACCCAATCCTCACCGTCACCCTAATGAGTAGGACTCCATGAGACTAGTAGAAGTACTAAAGGATTCTTCTCTATATTTTGTCTTGCTGAAGTGGTGACCATTTTGCCTGTTTTTTAACATTGGAGCAGCCTTGTGAACACAAATCGAATGATGCAGTTTTTTATGTGAAATTTCATCTATGAACATATTTCGCTGTCATTTGATTGTCTTGAAAATTTCACTTGAAAGACATGTCTTCTCGAGATATTCAACGTCCAAGAAAGTTGCTGCTCTAGCCTTTGTCTGTGAGATATGACGGGTTCTTGGATGTTCAATATCTTGAGAAGAAATCATGTGTTTCAATTAAATTTTTAAGACAGTCTAGTGACGATTGTAATGGTTATTGACCGTTATGCTTCACTTGTGTGGCCTTTTCACCGAGCACTGACTCTTTCTCTCTCTCTCTTTTTTCTCTCATGTGTGACCACTGCTTCTCCTATATAAGGCGTGCTTAATAAAAGAAAAGGAACAGTTGTGAGTGCGCAGATGACACAAGACATCATCATGCCGAAAGGCATGGGCAGTCACTCTCACAATTTGTCACAGCAGTGAGATATGTGCATGGACGAAATTTCAGATGAAAAAATGGTGCTATTTTTATTTCTATACTTTGAATAAAATTTTTACTTTTTTTTCTGGAGTTGCTATGGTCTGTAATGGGGGTATGTATGTAATATTCTCTTTCCCGTTGCTATGTGTCCGTAATGGGGTGGGGGGAGCCGCCAACCTCGAACTGAAAACTTACACTCACTATTTTCTTCGAAAACATACGTGAGTTCCACAAAATTTCGTCAATCGACTTATTTCTACATAGCTTCTCCAAGGTCAAAAATTAGCTAAAACGGTTATCGCTCCAAAAGAACAACTAACGAGTCCTACACATGAGCAAAATATGAGCTCAATCGGTGATCAACAGTTGGTTATATTCCTTCGTTGGTGACAGCTTTCTCTAAGTTTAATATAGGTTTTACTATGTCAACCACCATTATTATCACAGCAATAATAGCAATTGATAACTAAAAATTATTCTATCGCCACATGTTTGTTCATTGATTTATACAAAAAATCTCGTACTAGTTATTTATTCTTTTCAATACATTCATGCTTTGCTTTCATCACGAGTAGATCTTTGATATTATGTATTGGTTTTAATCTCTTAGGAGATCAAATCGTTTATACTAATACTTAGTCACTTGATAATCTTTATCTGAAAAAGTGAAATATCAATATTGTGGTAGTTTGTCTCATCATTCACACTCGAGATAGTATTTCAAAGATACAAGTAAAGTACGAAAATGTAAAGCCGGTGTTTTTACTGTTCTTATCATGTATATATTTTCTTTCTTATCTTTTATTTGTCACGTCGGTGTGTATAGAGACAATTCACTTTTTATTTTGTCACTAGACATGAAGGACATATTAAAAAAAACAGAACACGTATGTTGTACATTATTTGCACAGAGAACAAAATATATCGACTTGTAGATTCAAGCATCAAGTATTTTTCATATGTCAAAGTGAAAAATGACAAAAATGCCAACCCGTCAATTGGGAAAAATCGGTCCTCAAGTGTCAGCTATTGGTTTTGGAGCAATGGTTTCATCAAAAGGCTATGGGACTCCCGAAACAGATGAAGAACGATTCAAAGTTTATGATCGTGCAATTGAACTTGGTAGTACTTTTTTTGATACGGCCGATGTCTATGGTGATAGTGAAGACTTACTGGGAAGATATTTCAAGAAATATCCACATCAACGTGAAAAGGTCAGCAAAATAATCCTAATATATAGATCATTCTGATGTAAAATATTCTAATCTCAAGGTATTTCTTGGCACAAAATTTGCACTTCTGATGTCTCCTGAATTGAAAACTTTCTCAGTTCGTGGTGATGCTAAATATGTTCATGAAGCATGTGAAAAAAGTTTAAATCGTCTCGGTCTCGACTCAATCGATCTTTATTATGCACATTGTATTGATAAAACTGTGCCAATTGAAGAAACTATCGGTGCTATGAAAGAACTTATTGATGCTGACAAAGTTAAATATCTTGGTTTATCTAATTGTTCAAGTGATACACTTCGACGGGCACATGCTGTTCATCCAATTGCATGTGTACAAATTGAATATTCACCATTTGGTCTCGATATTGAACGAGAAGAAATTGGCCTCTTGAAAACATGTCGAGAACTTGGTGTAGCTATTATCTGTTATTCACCTTTAGGTCGAGGGATGCTTACAGGACAAATTAAAAGTTTAGATGATCTTGAAGAAAATGATTTTCGAAGACGTCTACCACGTTTTTACAAAGAAAATTTTTCAAAAAATCTCCAATTAGTTGACACATTAACGGCATTAAGTAAGAAGAAAGGTTGTACTCCAGGTCAATTAACATTAACATGGATACTTGCCCAAGGTGATGATTTCATTCCAATACCAAGTACAACGAAAATAAAACATTTAGAAGAAAATCTTGCTGCAGTTCAAATCAAATTCAGTGAAGAAGAAGTACAACAAATTCGTCAAGCTTGTGAAAAAGCCGATATAGCTGGTGAATGTTGTCCGGAAAATATGTCTATAATTTTATTTGCTGATTCAGCTGCAAAGAAAAACTAATTAGATTATGACAATCACATAGATCCAACTGACATTTTAATAAACATTCCATTTTTTTAGATATTCTATAGAGAGATCGATGCACTGTGGATCCCTCGTAATAAAATAGATTTCAACTTCTTCATCTTATTTCAAATATTGTTATATAAACTCCTGTCTTCACAACAGAGTCTACCTTCGTATCACAAGACTCCTCTGATGAAGGAATTCTTTGGAAATTATAGAAGACCCTCTTCCACAACTATGATTCATTAAGAAATTATAACTCTAGGTGTGGGTGTGGGGGGGGCGCGTCTTTGTTTCTGATTATCTTCTTGTCCCCCGCGTCCCCCACACCCCCCCCCCCCCCACCCCCCCCCGCCACAACCTCACGAATTGATGAAAGTTGAAATTATATAACGACCTTAACAAAGAAGGCTTTTGTTTTCGTTAACAAGAGGAATTAATTCACAGCGAATAAATACTTCGATGAAGTAGAAGCATATAAGTATAACAAAATTTTTGTATAATCTATTTCGTCATCACCTATCTCCTATGACACAATGACATTAAAGTATTTTAAAGAAATCATCAATCAAAGCATAGGGTCATTGTTATTATCGTTGAGAATCAATGTGTGCAATATTTTTGTTCATGAATATAACCATGATTTCAAATCTGGTTGCCGAGCAAGACTTTCAATCGTATAGGCACCTGCTTGAATCATTTTCTCATAACCAAATACGTTGATATTCTGAACTGAATCACATGCCTGGTGATAACATGAATCAAGATCAACATTCACCATACCACATTGGCCTAGACCAAGATACTGATCGTAACGATCACACTGTTCTTGTGTTTTAATTTCATCCGAACCAGAATAAAGACCACCAACAGCTATACCTTGAATTAAAAATGGAGCATAATCACTACCATAACCGAATTCAACGAAATCCCAAGGTAAATTTTGTCGAATAAACGAATCACGAAATACTTCTGAAATTTTGTAACTACCGGTAATGGCCGATGGCGCAGTGTCATTTCTTGCTGTTCGACCATCATAAGTACCAAACATGAAATTTGGTGAACCGAGCATGTCAAAATTGAGATATGCTACATAGTCAGTGAGACGTTCACCAACAACTGTCGAATTTTGGGCTTGTGCAACATGAAAATTCGAACCGAGAATTCCAATTTCTTCAGCACCCCACCAACAAAATCGTAAACGATACTTATATTTGGCATAAGTAGTTGTTTGAAAGAGACGTGCCAGAGCCACAGTCCATGCAAGATTAGCTGCACTACCGCTACCTAAAATGAAATCTTTCTATCTAATTTTTCTATGCAATATTTTAAATTCACCATTGTCGTTAATGCCAGGTCCAGCACGCACACTATCACTATGACTACCAACCACAATTGTCTGAGTAGGATCACCAGTAGGTGTATCAGCACAAATGTTTCCAACCGGAAACGGTTTATCATTCATTAGCACAATATTGATACGAACACCAGCTTTTTTCGATGGATTTTGAGCTGCTCTAACAAGTCTTTCTCCGAGACTGAACGAAAGAGAGAATGCTGGTATAGTATTGCTCTGTGCCAATCTCACATTCATTGGTGACATGCGATCGGGCGATGTTCCATCATTGTATAAAAGGAGAGCTGCTACATTAAACTTCGTAGCAAGCATACTTTGTTCAACAAAACTACATTGACCCCGTTTAACTAAAGCTACGCGACCGACTGCCGGTGGATTTGCTGCAATCCAATCGGCGTCTGAACAGCCAACATTCGGAATGACAGTCATTGGAATAAAATTGGAAAAGTTAACTGAAGTTGAATATCGAACTTTGAAGAACTCAGCCACTGTAGGATCTTCTGAATAAGTATGATTCGTGATATTTTCGTCAATCGATGATAGAAGAATAGGATCATGCTTGAGTGTGTGATCTCGTGTATGGAAAAAGGTTTTGGTAATTTTGAAATTAGTATTAGCAGATAGATAGTTTGTCAAATAGTCGAGTGTATGATTGAAGCCTAGTGTGCCAGCAGCACGAGTTCCATTGGCAGCTATAGCAATACGTTCTAGTTCATTGAGATGTTCCATAGCTTCATCAATTCGAATCGATTCAGCCAATATCGAATTGAGAGATTGTTTACTTCGATATCGATCATTAATACGAACTGATTTCGCTGTAGATGAACGAAAATAAGTAAATTGAAACAGGAATCCTAGTAAAACAGCTGTTAAGTAATGTTTTTTCATCGATACTTGAATGCCAACTCTAAGCAACTGCATCAACTTAATGTTTTGAAAAAAAAGAACATGCAAATACAGCAGTAGCTTACAGTTGATATTTACAAAGAAGATTAACAAGGGAGAAAATTATTCTTTTGATTTTAATCCTAATGATCAAATATCATAGCGGTTATATCAGCCAGAAAGATCATGTTGAAATCGAAAAGCAAGAATAGTCGAGCCTGTGGCAAGGATGTATCCTAAGAATTGATAGTAATATTTGTTGGCATTTTCTCTTGACGTTATAGTAGTAGTTGTGATGTTTTTCATAATTTCAAAAGGGGCGAAGAAAGTGATTATTCCTAACCCTGCTCGTGCCTTGATATTCTTAGAAACAACACATCATGTCCTTCAGGTTAAGACATGATAAAACAGGCTGAGATTTGTGCCGAGAAAGCGAACAATAGTCGAGAAATTCATCATAAAAAAAAAATAATAGGCTTTTTAAATAACAACTTCAATTCAGAGGAATAAGCTAAATCAATACAAAAAAAAGACAGGGCAACCCATTCGCAAACTAAAAATCTATACAAAAGAGCATATGTTTTTCTGATATATACAGCATGTAAATTAGAATTACTTCTCACAAATAGAAGACTGGAATTAACAAAAAAGAATTTTGACAGTGTAGATGTAGTTAAAGAGAAGACCCACATATACACTTGTAAAGTAAGACCACGAACATCTATAAAACTCCTGAGATTCATTTTAATTTTATGATTAATATTAAGATTTTATATGTGTAGAAGAAAAAAAAAATATCACTATCATGAGTTTCATTAAGTTCAAATATTGAAAGAGTCAGTGGTAGAAAAACACGAAAATATTTTTATTCGCAACGTTTTTCAAGCTAGCAGAGTTTCAATTAAATATTCAAATGTTAAAATTCGTTCACTTTCTTTTTGTTCATCGACAAAAAAGTTTCTTCTTGTTAAGTATAACAAGTCTAGATCAATTGATAGTGAAATCCTTGCGAATCAATTTGAGATGACTATTATTTATGTTCTCTTTCGACAAATGTTTTCAAATAACATGAATGTCTTTGTTTATATAATATTCTTTTCGATAATTAAATCAACATGTCATCATCATGGTTTATCGTATAATGGAACACTTGATGATAAGTTCCATAACTACTTGACACACTTATCATTCTTCTTATAGAAATCATCAGATTGAGACTCATAAAGTGACTATACCTATCATAATTGAGTTCCGTTTATTAAATAAATGAAAATAAGGATAATGAATTAAGTTTTACATTTCTGTCTTTATTATCACATGTACCATACTCTCCTTTTGAATTCCATAATGTGAGAAGACTCGATCATCTTCAACGAGCTTGCCCACAAAAATAATTCTTTGTCTTTCTACCGGTATCAATGTTTGTTTATAGATCGCATACTTAATTTGAATCCCTGTGTCATGACAGAAAATATTATAAATCTATGACTTCAAATTTCTCGTCAATAGTAGGAATCGAAACAAATATACGGTATGTTTGACGAGAAACGTCAGATAATGTCACCATTGAAATAATGCTCCCATCTTTAATATTATCGTATGATGCAAGTATGTGTTCGTCATTAAGTGTTTGACCATCGTAGCTTAAAAATTGATCACTCAATGGTATATTGATCTGCTGCATAATTTTCTCTTTGACTTATTTTATGGTAGAATTTGGATCTATATCAATCGAGAATGGTTCACTTGGATCAGCTAACCAGCCATACTCCTTTGTCCTACTTCGCGCAATGAGAAGATGCATTCCTAAAAATAGACAAAATGTTCTTTTGCATAAAATGAGCGATTTTATTCTGAAAACATCAAGATATCTGTTACAATCTGTAGGTTGAAGTAGACTAGGACTGTTCATTTTTCTCGCTATATATTACAATACTATTTCACAATTCTGTTTCACAACAGAAGAAAATAGATATGTCGATCTGTAAATATGTGAATTCCGAAAGATCTGAAATATAGTCCGCGAATATAGAATATCCTTGCTGAAGGTCAATAAATACCTGTAGAAAAATCTTGCAGAAAAAATATTTTTCAGTGTTAACTGTCTAGGTTCGATGAGTGTAGACGAGATACGTAGAATCTCATTCGATGAAACACTGCATATATATTTTCTCGTATAGAATCATTTTATTTAAATTTCACTTCTCTTTCTTCGTAAGCATATAAATATCTAGACTGCTAATAACATCTAAACTCTATCTATGTAAGTTTTACCAAATCAAATTACTAACTTTCTAATTCTATGATAAACTAATAATCGTAAGAATATTTCAGCTTCTGATGAACAGTCGAACTCTTCTAGAATCTTGATCAATACTGTCATGTGGTTACATGCAGCATGAAGTAAACAAGCTAAAATACTGTTTGATTTACTCTAAGATTAGTTGAACAGTTGTTATTTTCTTGCAGTGCCAAATGATAGACGAAGCGCTTTTGAAAATAAAATATTATTGTATTATAAATGTCTTAGCAATAAGCACGTCAATATATCACGCGTTTTGTAAAATCTTATTTATCAGTTTTAAATGCGTCGAAATGAAAAGAAGCACTTGTTGTTTTTTTATGTTTGGTCGATCTCGAACCAGTTTTTGCTTCTTTCAATGCATTGCTTATTTTATCCTCTCTACTGATAAGAATTCAATCTATTAGCAAGTAGATTATACGCTGCTCGAATAAGACTACGATTTTCAAGATCGCAGGATTCAGTTGTATTCATATTCATACCTCTGAGGATATGAATATGAATGTAGACCTTTTTTTCATAAAGATCCACGTTCAAAAACTTAAATTCTTTGTTTATGATAGTAGACTGGACAACTCTTTTTAACAATACAGAAACAATCATCAACTTAAATTTCTGTTTTTTTTTTGTAGATTGAAAATTGACTTCTGATCATTAAGAAATTTTCTTTTTTTTTGATAACGATGAAAAGACATTTCATATTTTTTATTTGGGAAATCAACCAGCAAATATATTAATTTTAAACGATTAAATCAATTCGTTTTTCTTTCACACATACTTTACACAATTGAATCATTGCATTTGAAGATTTTAACATTGTCTTAGACTTTTATTAATAGCTAACATTTTTCTGAAGATTTTAAAATTGCTACGAAAATCAATAACAACGACCAAAAAGCAATTTTCTTAATGTTAATTATTTATAGGCGATAATTTGCATGTAAATTGTACGACAAATGATAATATCATGACATACGCTAATCTTCAAACGTCCTGCTAACATGTAAACTGTATCTAAACGTAAATTCTTAAGTCTTATAAAAGATCACAGAGAATTTTGATCATAAACAATGAGAGGAACTTGATCGAAGGTCAACATAGATCTTTTATTCAGACGGAAATATTTCAGTGTTTGACTGATTTATGAAGTTACTTTAATTGGGTTATTCTTAGTATGAAAATTGATGAAGCTCGTTAAAAAAGTACTTTATAATTCCAACTATTGTCAATCGTTTGCCCGGAAATATTCTCCAATAAGTTATCTAATCTCATTAAGTATTCCCTAAAAATTGCATGATTACAGCCTATGTAAAGATCATCCTAGTTAATAGAAACGTCTCTTTATCTCAAGATTACAACAGATTGAAGTCGCCTATCTTTGATACAGTAAAGATATGTGAAGCTTTATTTATCAATAAAAGGATGGATATAACCGCTTTAAAATAATGACGAACTAAAAAAAATGTCAAAGAAATAGTGTTTCTATTCTAGATTCGATGCACTAACGCCGATCGATCTCGAGTTGATTTGTTTACGATTAGGTCCGATCAAGCTCTGTTTATAATACAAATATTCGCCAAAAAAAATTCAACTTTAGGTACTTTTAATCTAGTAGCATCTACGATAATCGAAATTAATTCATTCAAAATAAAAAAGATTCGATATTGTGAACAAAATAATCTTTTAATTTGATAAAAAAAAAATTTTACATTAAATCAAATAAAATTTCCTTCAATGAAAATATTATGGTTGACATATGAATGTAATTAATTCCTATATTATACTAAAATTATCTTCATGTTTGCTTACGAGAATACATATATCAATTGATCATCATAATACAAGTAAGATTTACAAAAAAATTTTCAACTTGATTTTTTTATTCTCTCAATTAAATATAATTACATTCAAACAACAATAAAGTTTCTATTATAAAAACGATTAATTTTTGTAATTTTGTCGATTTAAGAACATCAAGTACTTGTTCGAGATCACTTTTTTTTTTTTTATTTAATCAATTCAGTAAGTACACCATTTGAATCAACAAAACCTATCGATATCATACGTTCGATACATTCATCAATCTTTTTCTTATCTGTAACTTATTGATATTCTCTTGAAGTAGTTTATGTTGTTCTTGATTCTTCGGTTTGTTTGTTAACAGAATAATGATAATTAATGTCAAATGATAAGAGAATTTCACGAATAATTTTACCAATATTTTCAAGAAAAACTATTTCATCAACAGATTTATCAGCTTGTTCACTGGTTTTTAATTGATTTAATTTTTCTGTATGTAAATATTCTGGTATATAAGCTTCAATTAATTCTTTTCCTTTAAATTGATTAAGAAAATTGTTCATATCCAATGGAATATGAACATGAAAATGTCTATTATGTTGTCGCAATTAAATGATACAAGAAATGATGTTCACATTAAAAAACAAAACTAAATTTATGAATTCTTGAAACTTACTTGTAACGATTTCCAATAACAGGACCTTGATATCCATTACAGGTAAAACCAATATGAATTGTCCTGTTTTGATTTTAGTTTGGCGAAAATTTTGGTAATACTACCGATAGAATAACGTTTTAAAGCTAATTGTAATTCATCATTGGATGAGAAAGTAATACGATCATTATCTTCATCTATATATTGCAATGTAAATTGGCCGTAAAGATAATTATTATTCAATTGAGAAACTTTTGTTTTCAATGTTTCATAGATATCTTTATCCGATCAAATATCGAACTATATATTTATATATAAATATAGAAGTCAATGAATAAATAAAAGAAAACTTACTGAAAATCGACGAATTTCAGGTTGTTTTTCATAGAGATCATTGTAATAAACTTTTACAATAATTTGTTGTTGTGTAGACGGCATGATGCTTGCTTTTTTTCTCTCACGAGGGAACCTTTTCAGATGACACCCTCCGTTTTGATTTGTTCGTATCTCATTTAATCGAGTATATTGAGGTAGTAAAAAGCCTAAAGGGATTTTCCCCCAATGTTCTTCCTTCAAAAGTTATAGTCGTTTTATTGAATTTTCGACCCATTTCCAGACATTTACGAAAAAATCAAAATAGGGAATTTCGACTTGATATTTTGCCCATAGATAGGTCTAATAGTCCTTAGAATATCCTGAAAGTTTCAGCTAAAAATAATGTTCCTTTCTTGAGATATTGAATTTTCAAAAAATAATCGCCTGTCACAGATTGGTCACAATAACCGAGTTCACTTGAAAATGCAATATCTCAAGAAAGGAACATTCTTTTTAGCTGAAAATGTCAGGATATTCTAAGGACCATTAGGCCTATCTATGGGCGAAATATCAAGTCGAAATTCCCTATTTTGATTTTTTCGTAAATACCTGGAAATGGGTCAAAAATTCAATAAAACGACCATAACTTTTGAAGGAAGAACATTGGGGAAAAATCCTTTTAGGCTTTTTACTACCTCAATATACTCGATTAAATTAGATACGAACGAATCAAAACGGAGGGTATCATCTGAAAAGGTTCCCTCGTCAGTAGTAAGAAATCAAATGATCAGTTCTACTATTGAATCCTCTTTTTATAGTGTCCGTATTGACATCAATGAGTAATCATCAGAAGTAAAAGCAAGCAAAAGAATATTACAGAAACTAAACATAAAACATGTTAAGATGCTTTCGTACGCATTCATACGAAAGGAATATACTTGATGGCGTTAACAAAAGTCACTACGATTACTCATTATCAAAAATGTTCATAATGATGACAATGCATTTTCTAATACCTAAAATAACATCCGTAATACAAATGCAATAGAAAAAAAAAATCATTCAAAAATTTTATTATTATTATTACTTTTTTTATTTAAAAAAATTCAGAATTTCATTAGAAGTTTTTAAATACAGTGCAAAGGAATAAAATGATTAAAAAATAGCATAAAATTATTCATTTTAAAAACCAAAAACTTCAAATAAATCATATAAACGACAAACAGATGCACAGCTTGTACGAATGATTTAATAAAAGATCAACGTAATAAATCAATATAATAACAATACAGTTTACTATAATTTTACAGCGAATCTAGAATTTTTGATGGGTTTTTTACTAAATACAGTCATCGTTAGCACTAGAAACATCACTTGTAACTGTGCTTTTTTTTTCTTCGCTTATTTTATTGTTTCAAAAAAAAAACAAATAGTAGAGATATAAAAAGACGTCATAGAAAAGGTCTTCCTGACAAAACATAATAGAAATACAAAACCATTTATTAATAAAAAAAAAGGACAATATCTATAGAAAAGATCATAACCATTACTATTGACATGCAAAAACGAACATTACAAGAAAACAATGTAACCATATAAATAAATGTATTTGGAAAGAAAATAAATGCTTATAAATAAAATCTCTTAAATAGTGAAAAATTCAAATAGATCGAAATCTATCGATCTATATATATATATGAGTGTGTGTTATTATTAAAGTTTTGTTTGAAACTTATTGTTCTTATTATAGAATTAAATACTTGAAGTTAAGTTTTAATTTAAAAACACTCATTTATACTTTAGTTAGGATTATGTTTATGAATTATTTTATACTTGGATAAAAACCAATTTCTAACTGTTATTGTTTATTTTTTAATTATTAAGAAATGAAGGTCATAAATGATGTATTTAGTGTTGACGACTTAGGAGCAAAAAATTATCGAAAACTTCATTCAATAATCAGTAATCTATAATTAAATACCAAAATGATATTACACTCTTATCTACACGCAATGTTATTATCTTTCATTGTAATGTTTTTGTATTCTTTAGTGAAGATTAATTTCTTGTTCAATATATATTGTGCACTTTTACAACAAACAATCAAGCTTATTGAATGAATAAAAGATGAAATTTCTAATTCTATTGCAATATCAAATTCCTTGAGTATTGGTTTCAATGTTTTTTTGCAAACAAAAATAGCATTTTTAATGGTTTATGAGGACATTTTCTCTGATTCGCCTTTTTGAAGATGTTCGAGTTCTTTAGAATTGTTTTTTTTTTTTCTTAACTGGAATAGATGTAAGTAAAGATAGGAAAAATGACGTCTTTATATTTCTGAGAAAATGTTCTATTTAATAAGAAATATGTTAATCACACTAGAGTTTATTTGTTTGCAAGCTAAAATTATCAAATTTGTGTAAAAACAAAAAATTCTTTTAGAATAATACTCTACTTTTATGCATCATATGAACTCGTACAAATTCATTTTCCTTTCTGGTTAATTAACAACTTTACGGCTTTCTGGATTTTTACATGATCAAGATGCAACAGTTTTGATGTTTGGAGTGTTTCTTATTATTCTCACAGTTGGAGAAAATCATGACATTAAACATCGACCGTAAACAATGAGACTTGCTTCGTTCTATTTAATTCACTGTCAATCGACATTCTATTGAAACTATTTGAATATCTGCATGCAGGCCCGTAGCCAGGAATTTTTTAAGGGGGGAGCCCAATTCCAAATTTTTTTCTAAAGTTGCAAAAACCTTTCTCGTACGATTTTCAGTATCGATACTTTCGTTCTTAACATCTTAGATGCAGCTTTTTCGTTTTGTTTCATATTTCTTTCTTTGTTTTCTTTTATTAAATTTCAAACAAAAACACTTATTTTCCAGAAACTATCTTTAGTTAATAGTCACAAACAACAAAAGAAAAAACAAGCACTAGTTAAATTAAGAAATTGATGGAGTTGAAGTATCCACAATTGAATCTGTGTATTTACGTTTTTCAACTCGGACGAAAAATGCATCTAACTTCATCTGTTTATCCATTTTTATAGTTGTTAGAGNCTCATGAGACGAGTCAACTTATCTCATAGGATAACTTGAATTCGGCAGTAAACAAATATCTCAATCAAAATGCAGAAGTAAATCGGTAGAACAAGTTGAACATTTAAATGTAATGTCAAAAATCTCAAATATGCATATATTATGATGAAAATAGAAGTAATAATACATAATTCTATTTTTCAAAAGTCCATATATTATATTTATGGCTAGCTTTTTATGCTAAACCACTCGCCATTAAATGATTCCATGTGCCTCTACAATGATGTCCATATTTTCCCTTAAACGGTTGTGTTCCTTAAACGGTGCCCACGGGTGTTCGAATTCTTTTATTATTGACTTCAAAAAAACATAAATTATAGGATTATATTAAGCTAAATTGAAATTTCACATGAAATAAGAGAATCTGTTTCATGATCATTTTCCAATGAAGTTTCATTATAAATGAATATTTCTGGATTTTTTTCAGTATTGGATTTAGCATTAGTTGCTAATGTTCGAAGATGTTCGGCTTCAGCTAATCCAGTTTGTTTCACAAAAGAACTAAATTGAGAATTTATATCCGAAAGTAATGCTTGAGGTGTATCAAACTCCAATACACTCCCATTACCAAGCACCTTCAATATAAAAACAATACAGAAATTCACTCATTATAATCGAAGTAATATCAATATTTCATACCAGAATACGATCACTATCAATTACTGTACGTAATCGATGAGCTATTGTTAATACTGTACATTTTTTAAATTGTTGACGAAGAGCTCTTTGAATTAATTCATCCGTTCTAAATCATAACATTTTCATATGTATGTAACCAAACTGTTTTTCTTCCTTTACTTACGCATTATCAACATTAGCTGTTGCTTCATCAATTACAAGTATTTTACTCTTTTTTAATATGGCTCTTGCTAAGCATACTAATTGTTTTTGTCCAACACTTAAATTTGAACCACCTTCACTAACAAATGAATGAAGACCATTAGGCATAACATCAGTAACTAATCTCTTCAGTTGTACCTAAACTAATTAATAAGTTAAGCAATCATTGAAACATTAATCAATATTGACTAACTTTTTCAAGTGCATGCCATATTTCAACATCAGAATAATTACCGAATTGATCGAGATTACTTCTGATTGTTCCTGTAAAAAGAACAGGATCTTGTGGAATAATTGAAATTCGACGTCGAATATCATCTAATCCAACAGTTGATATATCAATATTATCAATTTTGATTTGTCCATTAATAAGTGTGCCCATTCGAAATATCGTTTGGATAAATGAACTTTTTCCGGCACCTGTTCTACCAACAATACCTATTTTTTCACCAGCTTGTATAGTTAATGAAATATTATATAGAGCAAGAGGTGCATCTGGTTCATTCGAGTGAGACATACAAACATTCTCAAAAATAATTTCACCATGTGATGGCCAATTTGTGGGTGGACGATGTTTCGGTGATACTTGTGCAGGTGGTTCTTGATCCAGTGCGCAATATTCAAGTATTCGTTCGACTGATGTCATTTGTGTTTCGAGTTGAACTGATTGTCTAAAATAAATATATAATGAATTTTTTATGGTTATATATTTTTCAGATAAACCTAATAGTCCATTGTAGAAGACCCATGAGATTAAGACTGAATGAAAGTGTGAGAGCAATATCGGCAGCTGAGAATAGTCGACCTGTAATACGTACAATTAAAGCCATTGATGTTACAATAGCAATGAAGAATACTGTAATCCAATCAAAACGAATAGCTCCCCATCGATTAGTTGTTAGAAATAGGTAATAAGCACGTGAATTATCGTCAAGAAGAGAGAAAAATTCTGATAAACAAGTTTTTTCAGCATGATAAGATCGTATGACTTTGAGTCCGAGGATAGTTGAAGTTAAATATGAATAAATTGGACTTCTTGATGTACTTTCAAGTCGTTTGAGATCTCTTGAACATCGAGCAAAACGATGACGAATTAATAACATACCAATTGTTGCTATGATTGCTGGTATGAATGACCATGAATTAAGCCAACAAACAAGAGCAATTACACCAAGTACTTGAGAAAGACACTGAATAGATAGATGAAAATAGACATTGATTTATAAAATAATGCAAAATTTACTTCGAGAAAATCTAAAAGTGTCCATGGAAGATATTCATCCACAATAGCTATATCTTTAGTGAAACGATTCAAAATACGACCTTGAATAAAATTATCGAACAATTAACATTATAATACAGTTAATATAACTTACCAATAGGATTTAAGTCGAAAAATGAAATTGGACATCGAATCAATCGTTTAAACATTCTAATTGAAACTATGAAAAAAGTGAACGATAGAAAGCAATGATGATTACTTGTTATGAAGTGTTCGTCCACTATGCAAACATATCACCTTGATAGTGATTATACGCAAAAGATTAAGAATTAAGAGAACTAATGCAATCCCTATACGAAATAATAAAAATAAAATAAAAAACAAAGAGTTCGTTTTATATCTAAAACGAGCGACAAAAGTTTAAGACACTTTTCAAAAGTATACTATAGACACTAGACAGAAAACAACTGCTCTACACAATACAATATTTTTTAACGTTCTAAAATCTATGCTTAAAGCTAACTTTTCTTAATTATTCATAAAATATTAATAAAATTTTAATTAATATTTAAAGATCCGGTTATATAGAGATATTGTAAAACAAAAATATACAGTACTAATCAGTCTTCAATGCTTTTTCTAACAGTATAGTTGAAGATTAAAATTTATAACAAAATATTTCTCTAATTATTCATCAATTAATAGTATGTATTATTTAGTAATAACTTATTATTACATCTAATAATTTTTCAAAAGTTTTTATATTTAAATGTATAGAAAATACCGAAGTAAAAAGTGTCTTAAACTGTTGTGGTCTACTTTACTAACCACAATAAAAGTAGAAACGGCCATTTCGATATTCATTCCATTCAGTGTCATTCATCGAACGTATCATATTAATCTTTTGATTTATGATTTTTGTACAATTGCTTTGATGTCCATGTCGCTGACTTTCATCATCACTCCATTTTGCTAACCACCAACTGTAGACAATAGATGTTGCTTGATGAAAGCCAAATATAAATATTAAAATAAAAATACCAAAAAGAACACCAACACCTTCTTGTAAATATGTAATATATACATCCCATTTTACTGAACCTTTTTCTGTCGTTTCAAAATTCTCTGAATCTATTAACAAGTCATCTTCGTGTTCATTCTCTATCAATGTTAAATGTCTAGATGATTGTCTTTGTGGAATATTCATCGGACGTTCAATTTGTTCTTTTTCTTGTTGATGAATATCTTCTAATAAACGACTAAATGACGATGACCTTGCAAGTAATTCATCGTATGTTCCTGTTTGTATCATTTCACCCTATAATATACAAATTATTTTAAAATAATATATTATCAATAAATATACTTCAGGTGTCAACATACATTTTCAAGTACAAGAATTCTAGTTGCATGGCGTAAAAATTGAATTTGATGAGTAACGAGGATACAAATCTTGTTACCTAGATAACTTTTTATTGATCTTGAATTATAAAATTCCTATCATCTTATTTTATTTATTAATTATCATCATCTATGACATACTTTTCGAAAAGATGTTTAGAAACTTTAACATCAACAGCTGAAAGAGGATCATCCAACAGATAAATATCCGCATCGCGATACAATGCTCTTGCCATATTTACTCTTGCTTTTTGACCCTAAATGAAATCGATGGCTAGATCTTATGTTGATACAATGAGTTTTGCTCACTCCAGATAACATGACACCTTGATCACCAACTATAGTATTTACTCCATTTAATAATTGAGCAAAATCCTAGTCATTGTCAACAATCAATGAAACAGCGATTAATATGAAATAAAACATACTGCTTCGAGTGCAGTTGCGTCAACAACACGTCGAAATAATTGAGGATCATAATCTTTACCGAAAAGAATATTCTTTTTTACGGTCGATGAGAAGATCCCTATCAGAAAAAAAAGAATCAATCGATTAATGTAATGTTAAATTTGAATAAATTTACAAGGTTCTTGTGGTACATAACAGAATGAACCATGAAGTCGAACTTGACCATCAAAAAAAGGTATTTCACCAGTTAAAGTTTGCAATAGAGAACTCTGAATATATATTTGAAATAGAAAGTAAGATTTTATTATGAATATATCAATATACTTTGCCAGATCCAATAGGTCCAATAATACAAATCAAATCACCTGGATAAACAGTGAATACAATATTTTTTAATAAAAATAATCCATTCTATTTCAAGATAAACATAAGTAACCGATGAAAAATGAGAAGAACAATATCTTTACTTGTTCCCATCCAGCTAATTTCAAGTTACATTCAACTTTGGTAAATTTCTTTAGCGATGTTTGAACTATGTTTTTCTTTTCAATAGCCATTTTATTTGTTAATAAATGTTCATCAGTTTCCAATTTATCTGATATAGATAATAATCGACGATCTCTTTCAGACTCATCCAGTAAAAGAAATGTCTAAAAATAAAAAATTCCTTTCATTTCAAGACAATAGTTCGAAATCATAGTGATAACAAACTTGAAGCCGTTTAGCAGCCGTCAAATAATTAACAAAATTACGTATACCACTACCAAAACTTAATACAGAGAGTCCTAAATAATTAAATCAATGCGCATTGTAAAAATGTATTGTTGGGAATCAGCATTTGTGAAAAAAGTTCTTGATATAAGAAAGTATGTGTTGTTAAATAATGTATTTGTATTAAAGTTTTTGGGGTTCCTTTGTTATTGTTTTTCTTCTAGACGCGAAATTATTCGATGCGCTCTACGTTTAATACCTGAAACTATGGAATTGTTTTTTTCGCAAATGCTGATTCCCAACAATACATTTTTACAATGCGCATTGATTTAATTATTTCCGACATTGTTTTTATTCGTTGGTCAGTNCCCTCCACATACATACACCCATACCTCACATAAACCTACGCTCCACAACCACACTTATGCTTAATCCATTTCTTTGTTACAATGAAACCTAAGGTCGAAAAAAATTAGTCTATTCGATTTACGCTCTAAACGGTATGCATGTATTAGAATTATCATGTTTGACTGATATTTATTATTATTCTATATCACGAGATACTAGGTTATAAAATGATTGTTTTTGAAAAAAAACGAATATAAAAATGTTCGTCGTGCATTACAAGTTTTATAGAGCGCCTTTCGCTGATGCACCATGTTTGCATACTTTCTTGCCAAAAATGACGACTTCATGTAATGCATAAAATTCGGCAAATGAATAGCCTAAGAGGACGAATGGTGTTGTTATGTAATGAAATAAATTTCGTGGAATAAAAATGCATTCATCAACATGCATGAGTTTGGGAATGAATGCATCAATGAGGAATGCAACTGAAAATGTTAACATTTGTAAAGCCAATAGACCATACATGACATATGAGATAACTGGTGGAACATTTTTGATAAGGAAAGTCATCGACAAAGTTGTTGTTAGACCAAACAAACAGCCAGTACATAATAAAACACCATAATAAATAATAAAAGCAATACCCCAAGAGCATGCCGCTATTCTTGGCATTCGTCTTGCTTTGATGACAAAATAATGAAACACTTCGGCTGCTTCAATTGTCCAACGACGTGCTTGTCTTGCCCATTTTATAATTTCTTTTTCTATTGTTTCTCCAGATGTAGGTCCACTCAATACTGGCACAGGTATTATAGATATTCGCAATCGTTGTTGTGTCACACCCATCCATCGGATGAGGCAAATAATATCATCCATTTGATAGCCAGGATGAATGAAATCTCCTTTTTTTGTCAGACTTAATGGAAATGAGAAAATGCTCATGGTGTTAATATTGAATGGGATAAGTGCACCTAACATGAGAAAACTTCGTAACAACCCCGTTACACGAGTAACAAACGATAGACCATCTAATTTCCAGTTATAAAACAAAGGTGACTGGTAGATTGTGCTTAGTGCTGGCCGATTCTCTTTCAGATACTTGCTAGTTAATGCAGCAATATATTGAGGTAGAAATTTAGAATCTGCATCACAAGTTGTCACCAGAATATTGTCCATTTCGTCATCAGCAATGTTCATTTCTTTGACGGCCATACGAAGACCATAATTTGAATTAGAACATTTTGCAGGTATTTCATTAGGCAAACCATATGGATGAATTGTGAATATCATCCGTTCGAAGCCACAATTTTGAAATTGTTCTTGTAGAAATTGACATTTCTTTTCTTTATCTGGCGTTCGCTGTTCAAATGAGATAACCATCGTTATTCGATGCACTTCAGTTTGATCTGCCAACGTTTGAATACTTCTTGCAATCAAATCCACGGGTTCTTTGTAACAACTAATAGCCACAATATGACGAATAGGTATCTTCTCATGACCAGTATACTCTTTAGCGAAATTACGAGAGCTACTCAGATACAAAATTAAAGAATTCTTCATAGCCAATATTGCAATAACTACAAACTAAACAGTTTCAAAATTAACATATGCAAAAGAAATATACACTTACCGGTCCACATGAAAACGAATACACCTTGAATGCATGGTAATAAATAATAGGCAAGATTATTAGACACAAAATGTATCCAAAGTGGAAGTGGCATAATCAACCAAACAAGAAAATTAAACAAAAGATTCCAACGGAATCTCTGACTACCTGTTTTCATATTGCGATGAAAACTTTGATCTGTTTCAACAATGGTATGTTGTGGTATGTCCGAAACAACGACAACATTATTCTTTTGATTTTCTGGTATCAATACGGCATGAGTAACTGTCGATGCATCTAATAAGTCCTTATTATGTTGCACTTTCTTTCCGAGATTATCAGGTTTGTGTTCATCCTGCGATGCGAGCTGACAAGGAAAATTCTTCTTTGACTGTTGAGCATGCCTAATAGGTGTTCGAAGATATTGTTGACGTGATGATGGAATTATCAACTGTGTCTCATTCTTTTCAGTGATATAAGCATAATTTTGATGGCCTTGTTCACTAAAAAATCGTCACAGTATTTTTGGATTGGAAGTCATCATTGAATGAATATTGGTTTCAGTAGCAAAGTATAAAAAATGTATCTTCTGTTTTATTTTTATATGTTTGTCCTATAGCCTGGAGTCCTGCGAAACAGTCTCGAATCCCGAAAAATCCCGTTCATCCCGTCCCGCGGAACAAACGGGACTGTCCCGAAAATTTTTCAGGACGGGCCAAACGGGATTCGTGACATAGAAAAGCTTGTCCTGCAGGTCTCTACTATAATCACTTTCTTTTGTGACACTGTCATTTGACATACTCCAACAAATCTAGTTCATTATTGTTTTTTCCCTTCCGCAATATTTGATAAAGACAAGAAGGTCATATGAATTCTTGGTGTATTAGGGATTATCAAGACAACAAAAAGAAATTCAATTCATCTAAAAATAAAGGTTAGACACCGAATCAAATATCAAACATTTCTATGTAAAAGACATTGATTGACATTTACTATATGTTACATATGTTGTTCGATTTCGTCATTTGACGATTTTAAGTCTTCCGTCATGAAATTTTTATAAGGACTTGACGATATCCTTATAAATGAGACGTCGTACCATTACACAACAGTAATCTCTACTTAACACAGTTTTTAACGAATATGCTGGTCAACATCAAGACAATATCTTCGAAGATTTTTGTCTTCAAAAATTGTTAATTCTTAGTGGAGATCGTTGTTATATCTATGAAGTATCGCTATGACATCATCTAATACAGAGACACAATTTTTTTGTTCCATGAAATAATATCTCATTGACATCGACCAGATGTTATAGCGATATCCTACGAATATAAGAGCGATCTTCACTAGGAATCAACAATTTTTGAACACGAAAATCTTCGAAGACTTGGTTTGGATACTGACCATCATCTCCGCTTAAAATTGTCTGGGACAGAGATTTCTTTTTGAGAAATGGTGCGATGTTCCGTTTTGAAGAATACTGTCAACTACTGGTATGCGGTTTTTTTCTTTGTATCTTCCTGCACGTTCATGGATTATTCCGCATCACTATTTTTTTTTTGATATCTGATTCAGCTATACTGACATATTCTTACTTCTTTCTATTAGTATTTTTCTATCGAAAAGTATTAGTTTTATGTAAAACTGAAATATTGGCTTGCATTGCTTGATGAAGAGATTGAGTGAGTCGCAAGTACGAATAAGATCAGCTATGTTTCAGACTGTTTTTTTTCTTTGTGACATATTCATTTCCGACATTATGCTATTTAGTCATTTAGACAGTTCTTCTGAAGTTGAAAAAGTCATTTAGAACACTGTTGAGACACTGGTCTTGAGTGTTCTTCTTGATTACTGTCGGCAAAATAAAAAAGAGTTGCTATTTCTTCATGATGAATAGTTCTCCAAATAAGCCGACACAGATTCACATTTGTTTTGAGACCACTCAGAAGTGAAAAATTTCGATTTGTTCGAAAAAAAATGCGAAAGTGTGTCTTTAGAGTCTTTTTTACAAAGCCAACTCGGCAAATGTCGACGGATTAGTTAGCATACATGGAGAGATTAGTACCCAGGTCGAAAAGTACGGGCCGGTTCCGGCAGGGAAGCACTGGAAATCGCCGGAACATGGAAGCAGTATTCCTGCCAGAAATTTTCCGTATTTTTCCTGTCGGTCTCTGCAGTATCCGATGACCGGAACGATCGACCTGGGTAGAAAGAAGGTCGAGACTAGAAGAAAAGATCGACATAATCATCAAAAATGTCCTTAAGAGAAGTATAAAATATTTCATTACTGCTCAGTTAGATTATAAAGCATGAATTAGTTCATTATTTTCTCGTATACCATAAAATGAACCATTCTTCAGTATTATACAATGAACTACTAATGTTTTTTGATTGCTCATCACATACGTGCTGAAAATATTCTCATGCGATGATAACTATGAATCATTTTATAGTCCTATAGAGTAAGTACCATTATCTACGTAGTTTCGTTTTTGACATGTGTTTTTATAAAAGACAAAAAAGGATCCAGAGAAGATATTACTGTATGTCCTTTCTTGAAATACTTCTCGAGATCTTTTCCGACAACGCTCACTACAATTTCTTCAAAGTCTCTTTAGAACAATATTCGGATATTTGTTCTCCCTTAGTTGCATAAATAAATAGTATCACATTCGAAAAAATTCTACGTTATAAACATCTGTTCATAAAAAAACAACACGTTCTGAAACTACTTAATGCAGTAATTTGTTTGTGTTGAATGGGTTATTTGTCTTCAAGATCTGTTGTGTGAGTTAACAAAAAATTTTTCTAATTGTAGTACGAGAGCAATAAATGATATCTGTATATAAAAAACGATAAAACTCGAAAAATATTGATAAATCGTCGTTTTATGTTGTTTTTCGAAAAGAATTTCGAACACAACATTTCTTTCGTGTCTTTCATGTCTAGCAGAAGAGGCTGATTCACAAAGTGGAAATCTTTTCTCCGGTACCTTAGACCATTTGGCGGTACTCTTCATTCTATTTTTCAAACAATGTTGCTCTATTGTATTTAAGCAATTGACTGAAAAAGAAATATAAGGATAAAACTGTTGAAACATATCAGGTACTTCAGAAAAAAACTCAATCGGCTAAAATCTTCAAGTGATAGTGAGTGAGATGAGTTGAAGCATTTTAACTATTTCATACACTAACGAGTTAATCATATTTCTCTACAACACCGACTCCAAGAAAAAAAGAGAAATTCGTATCAAGCGTCTTCTGTGGTCTAGATGAATAAAATAAGCCTAATCAACGTACCCGTATATCTTTATTCCTATACTTAGCACTTATAGTCATACCTTCATGCTTATTGACATGAATCACTAGTATAGAATGTGTTGTAGAAAATATACAGAACATCTTTCTTTTTTCAAATTACGAAAATAATTCTGTAACAAAAAAATACAAAACCCCTCTCTATCAGACGGAACTATCAAAGATTCCCTGCATATCATGCAGCACCATTTCTTATTCTATCAAACCATACAGAATTTTTTTTCTGAATCTAGAATTAGTCCATTATGAACGATACAAAACCCGTGAAATTTCTCTGCATAAAAAAAAAGCTTGACAAGAAAAGTGCGAAACGACTTTCATTTTATGAAGCCTATAAAAGTTCCGTATGTAAATACGAAGTTTTTCAAGTTCAATAAGAAACCGATTATTTCAGACTGTACGGTTTTTTCATTTTCGAACGGATAATAATAGCGATTCTTACAGGACAAATAGCATACTTCGTATGCCTCTGTATTTCTATGTGCTCTAATTTACGCCTACGTTAGAAGCAGAGAAGTATCGTTAATTTGAAGACAATAGCCATTGCAATACTCTTTAAGCAGAAACTTTCCTTTTAATTATAAGCTCAAATTCACAGATTTTTTGTTTCTTTATAATTTATGCAGAAAATGCTTATCTGAACGCAAATGACTTGCTGTTGAGAGGATGTGAATGTTGCTAACAGGAAGAAAAATGACTCACATATGCCCATGGGTATAGAAATTGTATTCTCCATCTGACCTAACATTATGAGAGCATTATTTAGTTTTTTTTTGCAATTGTCTTACATAGTGCCGATTACTACGTCATGCGATATACTATATTAAAATACCACTTGAATCTATTGTTTTTCTTTTCAGATCAGTGTGACATGAATTATAATTCAATGAATATTCTCGTAATATGGAGACTGTTGCTGGTGCAGCTGACGGTAACTCTAAAGATCTCATTTATTGATTAGGATTTCTTGTAGGTGAGACAGTCACAATCACGAGACGATGAAAAATCTAACGAGTTCTAACACTATTTTTTTTTGGTGCCGCAATAAATTCATTGCCGTGTTACATTTTACTAGAGATGATTGTGAATTTCCGACTTCATTTGTTTCGAGATTTAGAAAGGTATGTATCACGCTAACCTCTGTCCTAAATCATAGTCAAGAAGTCGACATTTACCGTAATATTTTGTAGTATAAAATGACGACTTGATATGACTAGCCCAACACTTTAATGCTGAAAATATTTTCTACACGATACAACAAAAGCCAAACTGAGTGTAAATGATAATGATGAAAAATTTCGTGTCTTAACAAGTATCAATAGTTCAAAATGTTTAGCCATAAAGTACCAATCGTGTTTTTTTTTCTAAGTTTTCCTATTTTAAATGAGATATGCACAAAGCTATTCAACGAAAAAGACTCCCTTGACTTGAAATATTTGGAATAAACATGATTTCTATTTATTTTTTGTAGGTATCAGAAATAATCGGAACTTTTCTTAATCAATTAAACGATGATCATGGAAGTTACAGTCCTACTTTTGAAAAGAAATTAATCGAAGAAAACCGTTACGATGGATATTGGGTTGAAGCTTTTCAATTTAATAATCAAAGTACTATAGGATTGGTAGCGTTTGGTCTTAATATTGAAGAAATACATTTTTATGAAAATCCATCCATGACTACACAACCAGGAAAGGCTACCCTTATTCAAAAGTTAAATGGTCCAGTAGCCATGGATCAAGCTGATATAACAGGCAATGGTGTCAGTGATATTCTTATCTGCTTTCAATATGGTAATACAATGCTAGACAGCGATCCTGAAGGAGGAAAGATTGTATGGTTAGAAAATCCTGGACAACATATCGATAGAAATCTATGGAAAATGCATTACATTGGAAGATCCACAGCTATGCATAGATTTAAAGTTGGTCATTTTACACAAACTAAACGTTGGGAAATTTTAGGTCTACCTATTGCCAGCAAGCCACATCATTTACTTTGAGCAGTGCCTATATTATTATTTCGACAACCTGATGATGTACTCAATGCTACAGAATGGCCTTTTGAAATAATTAATCAGAACTTTTTTCATTTAATTCATGATGCAACACGATTTAATAATGATCAATTAGATAGTCTTCTTGTTGCATCACGCGAAGGTATTAATTGGCTTTATTTTAATCAAAACTTGAAACAATGGATGATTGAGAATATTGGTAATGGTGAACAAGAACAAAAACAACAAACAACTTATTATGGTAGTGGTGGCATCGATGCTGGACGAGTTGGAAATGATTCTTTTGCTTATTTGGCTGCTATAGAACCTTTTCATGGAAACGTGATTGCAGTCTACATTAAAAACATGAACAATTCGTTGAAAACAATCCATTGGAACAGATATATGCTGGATATTTACGGATATCCTAATGAATATGGCGAAGGTTCAGCCCACTATCTCGTTTGTGCTGATTTTGACAAAGATGGAGATGATGAATTTTTAGTTGCACTTCGTGGACCATCTCCAAATCAAGGCGTCTTTTTTTATAAAGCGATTGATCTCTTTCGTGGTTTATTTGCCAAATGGAAAGTAAGCGAGGATTCGGCTGCCAGAATTGCCGTTGCCGATTTCGACAATGATGGTCTTTTTGACTTTGCAACTATTAGCTACAGTGTTCCCGGTTATTATGTAGCAGAAAATCCTTCTATTAACATCTTTTACAATCGATTCGCTAAGAAGAAACTACAAGCTAAAAAAGAAATACAAGTGATGAAGCAAAAGAATGATCTTTTATTCACAGTTTCAAGACCCAACAAAGCATTACAATATCAAACTCTACCATTTATTACAATAGATGGAATAACTTTATCATTAGAAATTCTTCCACCTCATAGTTCACGTCATGTCGACAACACTACTTATATTAAAGTTCTTTCTGGAATAATAATGTGGACTGATTCTTCGACAAAATTACATCAATCTGTCAATCACTCACGCAAATTTCTCTTTAAACCAAGAACTGCTGCATCTCTTGAGATACACAGTGATAATGATAGAATTACAACTGGAAGTGAAGGTGCTCTTCTGATTGTATTCAAAACACGTAATGATAGTAATAATATTCATAGAATCGAAGATATTCAAAAAGTTATTATTGAGAACTCATTACCAGAATACTCTCCTCAAGATGCTCGTCAGCTTTCTTTTCAATTTATCAGATATGATCAATATGACTCCTCACAACAGTTCAAAGGTCTTGAATTTTACAATATGAAAGGTTTTGGGATAAAATTTGCTGATAATGACGAACAGCTTTGTTACATGCAACTGTGGGCTGCTGGACAAGGTGTTGATGCTGGTGTACACAATCATGCAAAGGATTTCTTCTGCGAAACTCATGTCTGTCTTATCAATGGAAGTGGAAAAGGCGGCATGCACTATCTTAATGACTCCAAAGAAGATTACGATCCACTTACTACATCAGACTCAGCATTCGAAAAGTTAATACTACCATCTTTTTATGAACAGGGTCCTCTATGGGATATTGATGCACAAGATAAACCAGTTTTGCGCAATGATGGTACTGTAGTTTATCCTTGGCACAAGTGGCAAGCTGGTATCGATAGATCGTTTAATCAATCATATGATGTTTGGGCAGTTTTTGAATTCAATAGTCAACTGTCAACGCTGCCTTCCTGAATGAAGTAAAATAAGCATTTACGCCAAATGTGTTGAATATATTTACGATAATTCTTGTCGTTCATATTCACTATTAAAGTCCTATTTTAGGTTGATTTATTCCATTTATATACTCACGCGATTTTTCCAATAAACATTTTTGTATTACACATAGATTTTTTATTCTTTCTGACTTATTTGCGAAAGGTATTTTTTAAGAAGAAATAGGATTTTACAGACAGAAGGCGGAGAAAAAAATTCTTTCAACATGTTAAAGCCCTGTATCTACTAAACCATCGTATTATGATTGGGACTATTTCAGTTTGTTCTCATGCTTCAGTGATAATATTTGCCAGCGTTCATTCAGTTATCATGAACACTGGTAAGATGATATAAATGTCGATTGACAATATCATCAAAAACATGTTCTCGATATGAATAATAAAATATTAAGAATATTTCATTATCATGTATTGTTCTACGAGACTTGAATTAGAATCGTTTGTACGAAACGTTTAATAGCAACTCACAGTAACTTGCTTATTTAACAGCATTAAGCTTTTTTATATTAATGTATTATATCTCATGAACGTTAAAATACAGATTGCCAATTCCAAGGTCACATGTTCAGTATTTATAGAGCATGTGAGTAGATATTAATATTTGAACTGATTTCTGAGCACATGCGAGACTATTTATAAATGTTAAAACAAAAAGGAACATTGTAAAGGTATTTTTATGTATTTATTTTTTTCAAACACGATGGATTCTATTTTCAGTTTTAATTTATTTTTCTTTAATCTGATTCGCATTATAGGTTTTTGGTCAAATTGATATTCCATTATAATCTGCTTATACAACAGATCTATTACGAGTTTGTTGTATTACGTTTATCGATACTTGCTGTAATGTGAAAGATTTGAAGTCAACAATATAAGTTTAAATATATCCTGCTTGAATATATAAAAAGAAAAAGATATAAATAGAATTATCTAATGATTTATTCACAATATGAAATAAATGAGCATCAAAAAATTGAAAATAATATTGAAGTAGATTCTAAAAGGTTAGGAAATATTTGAAATTCACAAATTATAATTTTTTTTAAACGAAAAAAGTATAAATTGTCTATCAGATGCATAGGTATCAAATAAAAAAACCGTGTTTTACTTGCATCACTTCTATAAGCGATCTATCACATGCTTCTAGGAATTCGTACCCTATCTAGAAATGTTTGCTGCATTGTAAAACCTTCTTCTGAATAATTTCGTAAGCATCCTAACGCTAATTTGAGTAGATATTGAGGAAGAACAAAAAGCGATTTTTATGTAATAACGATAAACCATCACATTAACAGGTTTTTTCCGTTTTTTGAGCTATTAGATTAATAAATTTTGTCTTTTAAATTCATTCTTTTTTCATGCTTCTTTGTTTTTTCTTAGATTTCTTTCATTCGTTCATTTAGTTTTTTTCTCTCGAACATGTTCAATATATTATTTGTTGCTTTGTAGTCTATTTTACTGATTATTGCGAAGAAACATCCTGCGTTTGGCAATAAATTGTCTTCTTATTATTAAGTCAACATAGGATACGTATAACTAATTGAGAAATATTCTAGCGTAAAGAACAAAAAATGAGTTCTACAATTTAGTGGGTTTTATGTTCCTGGTGTGAGTGTGAATGAGAAAAAGAGCCTTATCAACACCCACATCCATAACACTCCCTTTCTGTTATTCAATTTACTGTCTTGGTTTCAAGAAAAAGAATTTGACTATTTCTACTCGACTATCGAAAATCTTGTTTCAATGATACTTAACAAAACTATTGATGACTTTGCCGTTTGAGATTAAAATATCGATCAATGTTAACTCCTGATTCACGTCGTTATTGATGGTAACAAAAAAAAACAATTTAAGAATGTTAGTGAAGACGAAAATATTTTACCTTCATAGAATTCTCATTCAAAATTTCTTGGAATAAATCAAAATGAATATGCAGATTTTTAATGTCGATGGGTTGATGACATAGAGAAAATAGTACTTCGTATTTTTCTATATATATGTTTTCATTATTCGTTTATTTCAGAAAAAAAAACAAGTTTATTTACAAACAAAATGAAAAAGACTTGATTTCAATAATAATAGTTTCATTTTTCTTGAAACTGTTCTTAACAATATATGATGGTCGCTTGTGCATGATTTGCTTGACGACGTCGACAACAACAACAGCAGCAACAAAATCCGATGAAAATGATAAGAAAATATAAAGAAACAAGAGATATAATAGTTATGAAAGGAGAAGTATTTGTACAATTATAACTCTGAAGTAGAGCTGGATCAATATAGACATGATTATTATCTCCTTCTGTTGTTATTGATACACTCGTACAACGACGACCAATATTAATCATAGCCGTATTGTCTTTCGAAAAGTATAATGTTCAACGTGTTAATGTCACTAAATGAATACCGATTTATCCTCTTTGCATTCACATTATTCTTCTTTCCTCTCCAGAAACAATAGACAAAAAAAAAATACAGAAGAGAAGAGAAATATTTCTTATTTGACGAATTGTGGCTAAAGTTGCTCAATTGATTGATACATTCGTTTAGAACATATATCAAATGAGTTATCAAGTACATTACAAAAAATTATAAAAAAAGATATCTCGAACTGAACTGAATGGAAACTAATTTTAGAAAAATAATAACTTTATGCAAAGATAAAAATGATTCATTGAGCAATTATTTTTTCGATTGTATCGCTGCTTGTAATAATCAAACGACATGTGATCGGTTTTTTTAAACATATTTAATTACATTTTCTTATGAAGTTAAGTTTTGCCTTAGCACAATTACACTAATTATGTTTACAAGGATCAGTCTAATTTGAAAGAACAAAAAAAAAAAGATTCGTCTATCATGTGTACATGCCATCTCAAATATTTATTTCTCCTTTTAAATAGGTAACTGCTTTGCCAGATATCAACACTCTGTCGCCTTTGTTTTCACACCAGAGTTCTCCTTTACGCGCCGAAATTTGGTAAGCATGCAGTTCATTTTTACGTCATCGTTCAGCCCAATAAGGAGTTAGAGTACAATGTGCTGAACCACAAACGGGATCTTCAGGAACGCCGGCACTCGGAGCAAAGAATCGCGAAACAAAATCGACTTCATCACCAGGAGCTGTAACAATCACAGCAAAAACAGCATCGATTTTGCCTAATACCATAAAATCCGGCGACAATTGTTTGATGCTAGCCTCGTTCTCATAAACGAGCAAATAGTCTCTCGCTTTGTAAACACCGATGGGAGCTATTTCGCTGCATAATGCTGACAACATTGCATCAGGCAAATCGGCTTTGTCTGCTGGACGGGCTGGAAAATTGAGGGTATATAAAGCATTCTCCTTTTGACGGGTAACTATAAGTTCACCAGCTTTCTTGGTCTGAAAGTGAATTTCCTCTTTTGTAGGAGACATTTCAGTGAAAATAATATGCGCCGTCGCCAATGTTGCATGACCACATAGATCTACTTCGAGCGTGGGCGAAAACCAGCGAAGTTCATATTTATCATTGCTGGGATTCGGCACAAAGAAAGCCGTTTCAGAGAGATTGTTTTCAGCAGCAATTTTTTGCATCAATGAATCGGGTAACCATTTGTCTTATGCGCATACCGCCGCTGGATTGCCACCAAACAATCTATCGGTAAAGGCATCGACCTGGTATAGTTTTATGATCATAATTCTAATTAATAATGCTATTTTCAAATACTTATTGTAGCCGTGCTGTAACAATGTTGATTACTTATCAATAACCAACAACTCTAAAAATTAGGAAAAATCTATTCAGATGTGTCCAATATTGACAACCTTAATCGTATGAATGAAAATAAGTGACTCTCTCTCTCGAATCACTTGTGAAACTTCTAAACATTTCCTACCTAACGTATTTTTGTCCCCATCATTCATGTCTAACAATATATTTCAAAATATCTATCATACTGACCAAACACTTTTAAGCGGCTTAAAATGTGCGCTTCCAATCGCCTTCTAAGCGAAAATATAAGCTATTTTAAGCTACCTTAATCGCTTAAATTTTCACATGGGTAACTTCTAGGAAGCAAATTTTTATTTTCTTACTATTTGAATCTATCTTTTTCAAATGCAATATTTTGACAGATATGCTTTTCAAAGTTACTCTGAAACTTACATGATTGGAGTGATAAATACGGTGCCCTCTAAAACAAAACGTAGAAAGTCGAAACTGCATGATGTGACAATTTATATATATATATATATCTTAAGTACATATCTTCAAAAAAAAAGATTCAGAGAGATTGATAACGTTTTTTCAGTTCTCCTTCACTCAAGATTGTTCTTCATTTAACACGGCCTACATATTTACATAGATATTTGAATAGTTTGGGTCACAGTTAGGGGGCAAACGTCCTCCATTGTATATCATCCTTCTCCAACTAAACTCGTTCATGACGGAATGGAGTAAAAGATATACTTCGATGTGGACTTAAACTACAGACCTTCACAGTATTCTGGTGACTGCTCTACCATCTGAGCTGCTTAACTATATAAACATAGTTCTGCTCCTTATGACAGGGTACACACTGTCACATTCGTCTCGTATTTTTGAATTGAGCAGGGAGAATATGACTTAATATTAACTCTACGTGTGCACTCAGAAGCAAGAAAAGAAAAATTAGGTGGCAAAGCATAGAAAGTCAACATCTCGACGAGGCAGAATATCAAAGAGGAACACATCAAAAAAAGAAGCGTCGAAAATTAAATCTCGAAAAGATAAAGCATCGAAACTAAAAAAGCTGAAGAAAACAAAATATCGAAAAATTGCTTATCTGTACTAAAGAAAAAACTATGACTAGTACACATCCTATTCATTTTTGTAAGAATTTGGGTGTTTTTGGTCTGGTACTCTGTTCATTCACATGCACACCGGCACACACATGCGCACGTCCATGCGAACATCCCACATCAGAGACCAGAACCAAATCGAATTGGACAGTTTTTTTGTATCAGAGTTGAATCGAGATTTTTCTTATTTGTTTCGGTATCTTCCCCATATTCTACTCGCATCCGGACATTCAAAAGTAAGACAAGATAGACTTAAAGCACTCTCAACTTGATTCAATAATTTAGAAATTGATGTTGAATAATATTTACAAGAACTATCTTTCTTGATCACGAACTATACAAAAATAAAAAGGAAATTAATTACTGAATGTCTACTTAAAAATTTTGACAATGTATTTAAAGTAAAAATATGGTAAATTTTTCATCTATCTTTTTTTCTTGCACTCAAGAAGAATAAAAAAAATTTAAATTTTCTTTCATTTAACAGAGTAAACTGATAGCAAAATGCAGTATTGAAAAGTTTCCAACAGTCTTATTCTATATCCAACACTTTTTCCGACTCTGTAGCATTTTGAGATTTTGTACATTCAATTTTTTTTTCGAGATTCTATCCCTTCAACATGTTGACTCTTCAATGTTTTTTTGTTCGACATTTTGTCTTCGATGTTTTGCCATTTTCGTGAAAAAAAAGATCATCCCGTTTGCATGTTGTAATTAGGACATGACAGGGTGACCTTTTCTCAGTCCCGATCCAGTCCAGTGAATGTGGTTGTGGGTGCATGAAAGATCAATATACACATCCACACATACCCTGTTTCCATTTATCCAATTAAAAATACTTATCTGTAAATGCTCCACATTTTCCATTTTTTAATGTTTTTATTATGAAAATCGCCAGTAGCAGAACTCAATAGCATAGAATCGTTGATTCGTGATGTACACTTAGTTGCCTTTCTTTTTGATCCAAGTTCAAAATCACATCGTGAGATTCTGTCGAATGCAGCCAAGTCCGACTGAATCCTGTTTTAAGTTCACAGATGTCAAAACAAGATTCGTATTGAAATGTTCTCCAACTTCAGATAGAGTTCTTCAAAATTTTGTCGGATCCTGCGTATTTTCGGATAAGATCAAAGAATCAGAATTATTTTCTTGAAATAGCTATCCTTCGTACATATCCTTATTAACAGTATATTTCTGCTGAGAACTCTATTTCTCTAGCAGGATTCAAGGAAAATGCTTGTCTAACAGCAGAGTTTGAATCTTTTATATCAGCTCCAGGTAAGTATGTTTGAACTCATGTGAATAATGATCCTTTGGTAGTTGACTGTTGGATTATTTTAGGTTTACATTCGGTTATATTATCACAAATACATTCTGCAAAGCGAGATCAATAAAATGAAAAGTGTTTACCGAATAGCGGTCTATTCTGCAATGTGTTTGCTATGCGATGCAAATATTTGGTATTCAATGAACAAGCGATCATTTTCCACAATCATAAGCATTTATATAAAAATAATTGGTCAAAGAGAGAATTTTTTTCAGATTAAATAACACTTTCTATACGAAAGAAAAACGAAAAAACTAATACTTTAATTAAAATGTAATTTACTGGATTATTATCAATTAATGGTGATCTTTGAACGAAACTAATATAGACAGTGCATGAAGATAATTGATCTAGACAACTATCAAGTAGACAAAGACAATCGTCAAAAGTTTTCACATTAATATATAGAGTTTTTGAATATGAAGAACCACCGTTATTAGGAGGTCAATCACACAGTGAAAGTTGGGCATGCTTCCTTTCTATCCATGGTTTCATATTGAAATAAGAAAAATTTGTACAGATGGCAAGAATGTGTGCACATGCATCCGTAAACGATTCCTTGATAACCACTTCATTTCTGGTCTTAATAGTAATATGTCGAATCTATTTTCGAAATAATCGCGCAATTGATAATCCTTCTAATAATATGATTCAATAGATATTCATTGTATGATGATTAAGAAGAATATTCTTTATCTGTTAAATAACGAAAGACGATCACTCTAAGATTAGGATATTCATGTATTTGAGGTAATATTTCATAACAGAATCGATTAAGTTTAACAGTATCAATTGAAGAAAATTAATCATTTGATAATACAATAGAAAAGTCTGTCAATGTGGTGTTACTAATACTTCTTGCATTTTGATCAAATCGTCTAATAACCTCAACAGGGAATAATGAACGTCCATGCAACTAAGTTTTTTCATAATTATAAGTAATATTTGCTCAGGTAAATCGAGTAAATGAACACTCTTATGATTCATAGTGAATAACGGATTGAAATCCCTTTTGGTGGTATAAATGTCATTTTTTGGATTAATATCCACAAAATTTTCCAGTTTTCAATAAATCTCTGTATCAAAACTGTAATATATCGAATGTCAAACGGAAATGTGATGCAAGCAAAGAGTGATATCTGAAATTACTTGTGTCGTTAAATTCAATCAACAAATGCAATAGTCATTTGTTCAACAATCTCCTTTTACACAGTTAACCAAAAGTGTGATTGAGTTTTATATTTTTATTTTAAATGAGCACGTTGCATTTATCATTAAAAATATTATTAGAATGTCGTATTGCTCTAAAATATTTGATCCAATCAATTTTCGATTTTACCAAAATATTATCTACGTTAAGTTCGACATGAGCAACATTTTCGACATCAGACTTATGTGTGGCAATAGTGTTATGCTTCCTTGAGCATCATTTGTTGCTAAATATTTCTAAAATAACTGATACTGATAAATCCCCTGATGAGTTGATTCAGCATAGTTAATAGCAGATTTCACTGGAGTAGTCATGGAAATGTTTCCCAGAAGAAACTTTTTAAAACTCGAAAAATAGTACAATAGTCAATTTTTTCTTGTGTAATTTGTATCAAAACTTCTCTTTAGACTTTTTCGTCATGTCGTATACATATAAAACAGAACGAAAAACATATGAACTTAGTGTAAGATCCTTGTTTCAGTAGAAAGATTATAGATCATCTATTTAGAACAAAATAATGGCATTTGGAACCACTGTGAATGTTTTAAAATCTCGAGATACAACGACACAAAGTGCATCTCGATGATTGATGGTAGCACGAAATCTTTCGGCATCTATGACTATTTATATCATAATTATTTAAGTGTAATAACAAATTCTAAATACATCAAATAAGACTGTGTGAGTCATAGTCGAGATGCATCGTACGACACGCTGAATCTTTTATCTTCTTATATAATTGTGCCACTTGATAAGAAATAATAGATAAATCCAAACACTAATTGTCCGTTGATATACCTTTTTCTATCCAGAAAATTTTATTACATGTCTTTCTTTTCACTGCTAATAATAATTCCATATTCGAAGAAGTTCTCATACTACCATTTAAATTACTAGCAATTGACAAGATTCAATACACGTAATAGCAACTCATTTTGTGAGCTTTTGATTGCATTCTATCTATAAACTCACACTGCTCTAAGTGATATCAATTATCTTCACTATTCTTTGTGATAGTGAATTTTGTTTACTGATTTGCTTTTTTGCATGATTTGAAAAAGTACAGAAGCAAGAAAAACATAAATATATTATTGAAAAAAGCAGTTCATTAGTATTATTATTATTATTATATATAGAGAAATTTATTGACTTGTTAAATTTAAACATCCTCACCCTCAAGATAGGTTGCACGTGTGTTGTTGATTCTCTGTTTATAATTTAGAAAATAAGAATAAACAGTGATCACGTGTAAGACGAAAAATCCTATGTATACATACTTTTGTATATAATTACCTGCGCATGTTTTGTTAACGTGAGAGAGTTGGCCAACATATTCTTTTTTTTCTCTATCCATTAATTAACGATCATTCTTCACATGTACGACGAACAAAAAAATTTGATGTGCAAGTATTTCTGCCTGACTATTTGCTTTTTTCACTGACGTGAAAGAAAAGCAACATATGCATCAGTGATCACTATTATAAAACAGAATGATAAACGTATTTCTCTTCACATTCTTTTTTGGTTTTTTACATTCATTTAAACTCACAGCAAGTAAATTCACTCGTTCTTTTTCGACTCCAATCATTTTTGGGCATTATTTAACGGTAATTACGAATATAGTATTGGTATTGAGTCTGTACTGTTTACATAATATCTGTTCATGTCAGAGGTCTTTACCCTGATGAGTCATATGACTTCGCATCCTGCTCTATTTTCGTTCTTGCAAATAGGCAAGAAGATCAGTAGCTCACTAGAGAGCCGAGAACATGGAAGGCGTCCTCTATTGTTTGAAACTTTTTTGCACAATCTATCTTCGTGATATGAATCTTGCATTCTACCTTTTGTACATAAGAGTTATTTACAAACATGCTGATCAATTCTCATGTGAAGCTTCAGTTCATGTGACAGAATCGACTACAACTTTGTCTTAGATATTCTTTGGGGATGACGTCATATTCTCTGCATTCATATGACAAAATAAAATAAAGAAATGTTTTCTCTCCGATTTAAGTTAAACAGAAGTCGATACATTTGTTCAGAATTGTTAAGTGCTCTAAAACAACATTTAATACATTTGTATTTCATATAACTTGATCAGATAATTTTTGTAATGATAATGATAATATGACGCAAGTTACACAAAACTTTTTAATTCAACGTCAAATAATTGCACTAAAATCGGAAACATATAGAACAGATTGGAGTCAGACTCGTCATGCCTATTGTCCATTTTGACTAAGACATGGAAGAGATGGACTCAGTTCAATTTGTTTGAGATTGGTACTCTAGTACTATAATAGTTTGAATACGTCAGATCTGATTGAACTGACCGATCTGATATCTGAAACGATACCGCTTCTGGTAGTGGTTGGTAGCGATTCTCTTTCAGAACAATGCTATTTAACGTCACTAGATTTCAAAAAAATTTCATTACAAGGTCTCTATGAGTCACTACGAAAAACGATAGAAAGTACGGATAAACGTATATTATATGAGTATTTAAGTAAATAAAATCGATCTACAGGTGCCCACCCGATGTAAATGTAACGACCACTCTTCAGACATGGCAGCAGAGCTGGAGTTCATATTGGTACCGGTTCCATCTCTGAAGCATGAATGCAATAGACAAAGACATCTCGTTTCCTCTTGTGCATTGATACAGACAGAAAAATATTCTATTTGATGTTTGATTAGCTCACTCTTCTTTTCTCACCAACAAGGCAAAGACAGAAACTCTGCATTTCTCTTCAACTGCTCATACAATGGAGTGCGTCTTCACGAAATTGTGATTAGAATAGAGAGATCATCAACGAAGTGCAATCAAATTGATTCACTCTTCCGTGCAAAATCAAATATTTTCAAGGATAGCTATAACATTCTCATGGTCCCGATAACTGTTTCCTGATCAAAAGATCCTTATCAATGATAATAGGTCTTATCAATATCTAGAAGTAGGACGTAAAAAAACATTTCTCTTCAACGATCCACTAAACTTTTCCTAGACAAAAAGCGAAAAACTCATATTTATAATGCCTTAAAAAGGACACCAGACNCCTTCGCGCATTGCATCAACAATTACTCAAGCAACACGGAGGAGAAAGTGTTACGTTTGTGCTCATACTGTGAGGAGAGACAAGTCAAGAACAGATACATTGTATGAATGTATTGAATGTGATGTAGGGTTGTGTGTAACGGATTGTTTTAAAGATTATCATACTCTGAAAGTGTTCTGAATTATGTATTTGGTCATATTTTCAAAAATAAACATTGATTTTTGAAATTATAAATATTTTTAGTTTTTAAAAAAAATCCCGGACTCAAAGGGTTAATAACAAAAAAAAAACAACCTGTCCATAAGACATTACGTAAATTTTATTTATCAACCATCTTTTCTAGTCGTATACAGGTAAGTAGTAGTCAGTTAATCTGAAAAAAGGTTTTTTCTGTTAAGATTGGTATTTGAAGTTCAATCGTTTTTCTTTATTTATTTCATCGACAACGCTCAAGTTAGATATGGGGAATTGGATTGTTCAAAAGGTTAAAAGTTTAGAAATATTTTCATTTATACGTCGAGGAAAAAGCACCGCTTACCGTTCTGATCCGAACCATCCAGAAAACCGTTCTCCCGATGAATCAACTACAACTACAAATATAGAACAGATACCAACACCAAAGTCAGTTCTAATGCCAACAACTACAGACTCATCGGTAACAAATCCAACAGTAGAAACAACAAACTCACAAATAGAAGTAACAGTGACACCATCTAACAATTGTAGTGATTTTTATTTGGCATGTCGAAATAATAAAATTGAAGAAGTTAAAAATTCACTGGAAAAGATAGAACGTCAACAGATAGACCGAGTGGAACCAAATGGTAGTACAACATTACATGCTGCATCTTATCATGGTCATGCGGAAATTGTTGAATTATTACTGGAAGCAGGAGCTGATAGAACAATACGGAATAAATATGATAATTTGCCATTCGATGAAGCCAAAAACGATGAAATAAAAAACCTGTTCTTTCGTATTCCGACTAGTAGTCGGTTGGTATCGGACACAGGTGCTACTGAATGGCAATTAATTGATGATGATGATATTTTAGAAAAAGCGGTCGAAGAACGTCAAATTATTAAGTCACTCTACGATAGCATTTCTATCGCTACAATGTTCGAAAGAATTGAAAAAAATTATATTGGTAAAAGTTTAGCTCACTTTGATAGAATTGAACACATCAAACGCTTTTTTCGCCGAGCAATTGAAGAAAAAGATCCAGTATGGATCATCAAAGCTTATACAGCTGAAACTGATTTCTATAAAGTTTTCAACAAAGAAATGGCAGGTGGTGCAAATAAGTATCAACATGAACGAAGATACATTATCGCTCTACTTTCACATCATCCAAAGTTAGATGAATTCTCCTACATAGGCATGTCTTATCGAGTTATGCAAATGAGTGATGATGATCTCCGAAAATATCAAGATGGATGTTCACTAATGACAAAATCATTGTTATCATCATCGATTGAAGAGAAACTTGCTGCACTATTTTTATATCGACAAGAACTGGCACGAAAAGAAAGCGGTGAAACGGATCGACTCAAATCCGATGGAACAAAGATTAAACTATGGGTTATGTGTACCTATGAAATCAAACATCGACGCACGGCTCTATACATTGAAAATTCGTCTCAATATGTGATGGAAAGTGAAATACTGATTATGCCTTATACAGTCTTTAAAGTGAAGAAAATAGAACCAGTTAAACGCCCTGAATTATCAGATGAACATTTTACTAATATTGAATTAGAAGAATGTGATCAGTATTTAAACATATAAATATACAGTACATTAATGTTGATCGCAATTATAAAAATAGTTAAAATGTTTCTTTAATCTATTATACTGCTGATTAATCACGGATTTTTTTATCCGTTATATTGTCTCCAGATGTGAATAGATGGCAAACAAGTCACACTAGTTATTATAAGTAGCTTGATTCTTATTTCAATTCAGCCCATTCATTCGCTTACTCATTTCTTGAAAATCAGGGTGTGAGTAAGTGAAGTCTCGATCTTGCCAGAGGATGAGTTTATATAAGAATCAGGGATCCATACGACGCCTTTTGATCTTTACTAAATTGTAAGAAGAAGCCACAGAATAATATACGATAAAACGGTTTATAAAAGTGCAACGTATAAGACATTCTTCGCAACTGTTCGTCGGATTCTAAGAAATCCTTTCATAGACTCTTCAAAAAGCGATTATCAAGGGGTTTACCGAGATCAAATACTCGTTTCCACTGGTTTATGAAAGGGTTGAGTCGATCCATAAACCCATCCTGATGGCTCATGAACGCCATAAACTTCTTTAAAAAGGGTGTGGGTGTGAAATTTCCTTATTTCCCACCGACTCTAACTCCTACATCCGAGTCAAAACCAAAAAATAGTGCGAAATTTTTTATGTCCATTACAGTCAACTTCTAAAAAGTTGCATGTCGACATCACAACACTCTGAAAAAAGATCGTCAAATCACATCCTGCATGCTGTTTCAAAACCACGGATTTCCTCCACTCAAATGCCATACAGCAACACCACGAATTGGCATGTTGACCGGTGCTTCCCATTTCGCTCGTACACTCACTTGATCGGTCATTACCGTTACGTCTCTATCTATTCCAGACTTGATGATTAATTCCATAATATCGAGATCCCTGTTTCCCATGTAAAAATAAATCAAGAAAAAACGGGATTTTAATCGATTTTTTTGTGATTAAAAATCGATTAAAATGAGACGATTTTAATCAGATTCCTTGATTTTTAATCAGTTTTAATCGCGTTAACGAAAAACTGCGTTTTTCTCGAGTTCTATCCCAGAAATCATAGCTTTTTATTGCTTTTTCTGACTCCTCGCGTCGACAAATAGTAGGCAGAACATCAAACCANCTAGACTCGTCTGAAATAGCTTTATTTTGATACCAAACGATTCCTCGTGAAATTCTGCATCTAGTAAACTATGAATCAACCAAAATTGATGAGGGCCCAAAAATGACCCTTATACGCTCCCGTCCTTTGTTTTTCTAAAGACTCGTGGTGTTACACGACTTCGTGACAGATGGTATTTGATAGCTTCCTACTGAGATAAACAACAAAAATGGCGCGTAAAAATGCGTTAAAATGTTGAACGAAATAGAACGCATTCAAAAGTTTTAACGAAAATTAACGTAAAAATCGTACGTTTTGAATCGTTCATTAACTCGTTAAAGTCTTTAAGGAAAAAAAACGCATTAATAAATCTTAACGAAAAAAAATCCAAAAAAGGTGCGGTTTTTGTTCTTTTTTCGTTAAAGTTTTACGCATTTTTACGCGTTACTTTTTGTTGTTTGTCTGACTGGGTAGTATGAATCATATTTAGTATAATTATGTAGTTGAACTGAAATATAAGTATATTTACAAATATGGAAATATATTTAAATGTCGCAATCATAACATCACGCATGTAATACAGTATATTTGAACAGTACCTGTCAAATCAATACAGACAGAAGGGGTATTAACAATTTTTTTTGTTTCAGTATCGACATATAAAAAAAACTTTTCGTGAAGAGCGAAAGCAGTGCTGATTAAGTAATTAAAATCTTTTCTCGGCATATAGAGACCAAACAAAAACAACGACAGATAGACAATTAAATTGGACAAAGCCACATACTTTCTTTGATAATCCTAACGGCATAATAATAGTGTCTCTGTATTGGTACCAAGATATATATCTATTGATAGGAAAGAGTCAACCTTCTTTGCTGCTTCTTTTTGTACTTTCTTACCTACATGCTTATTTCTTTTCGTTTGCTTGTTCTCTTCTTGTTTCTCTTTCTCTTCTCATATTCTATGCAATTGCATGCTGGTTTGTTTTCGTAGCTCGTTCGCTCGTTATGTCGAAAGAGTATTGCGATAAAATCTCTCGCGTTGATACGCTATGCTCATACACAAGAAATCAAAAAATCGATAGACTATCTATCTTTCTCTCAGTTTGACAGCTTATTGGCTGTGCGTTTACACTTTACCAACATTACAATCATCATCACTAACAACTAGAAGCAAAACAACAATAACAACCTATCGACATTGCTTTTTTAACAACACGGGACAAAGAGACAAGTTACCATACACATAGGAAGTATTTTATTATTAGTACCATACATTACGAGCAGACAAGATTATTCTGTCTATTATGCAGGCACTTAAAAGCTTTATATCATCAAAATTAAGTCAAATGTCAAAAGATAATGACAATGATAAAGATAAGGACGAAGGTGAATCATCATCAACAGCAATAGCGACAAATGCAGCATTAGCCAATGTTCAATCAACTGAAAGAGGTATTCAATATTTACAATTGATTTTTTGTTTTCTTTTAATACTTGCGTTTTTGACACGTACGCAAAAGTATTAGATATACGTTGCCACCAATAGATCAAAAATGATATTTTGTCTATGTGCTTCCACATTTACATATCTTCCATTTTTTTATCTTCTTATACATACATGAGTGCTCGAAACCGTTCGATAATGACTAGAAGAAGAGAATTTTTAATGAAAAGTAAAAGTGACCATCTATTGGACATCATTGCAAGTATGCAAATGCATGTTACAATACGTGTATTTTGACTCGTGAATATAATCATTTGTCATCTACGCAGGAAAAAAGAAATAAAAAAAAGAAGAAAAAATCAAAAGTAAAAAGAAACTGAATATAAAGGTGACGTGTACACATAAAAATCGATTATGAATGTAATATGTAACAGTTGTATGTCGGGTGGCAAACTTTCATGTTATTTTCCATAACTATAGCATGTTGACGAACCTATACTAGTACTCTTTTTTTCTCTCTCTCATTCGTTTCTAATTATGTGAGTTTTTGTAGTAATTCCTATACTTGTTTTATGTTCAGTTCACTCAATATGATTAGAAAACAATTATAGAAAAAACAATTTGATATAAAACAATTGAAAAAAGATATCTACTTCAATTGAAAACACATCTATTATTCACAGGAAAAAATATGTACAATTCTTCATGTTTAACAATTAAAGCAAAGCTGTTTTTGTCATAACTAACTCAAGGGTCATAATTATTTATTAGGAAATGAATAAAAAAAAACTTTTTCTAACCTCAAATATAACTAAAAGAAAAAAAATGCACCTTTCTCTCATTTTAAATTGTCAACGAAGCCTAAAACTAATGATCATGACGGAGTTTTTTCTTGTCATTCCATACATAGTAGTTGTTCCTTGTTACCATCTTAGTTCTCTTGTTTATTCAATCCATACTCAAAGCTTTTTTAAATTGTACTTCTGAAAGAAAGCAAACATGCACTGTATATAAATTACATGAAACAAGTGTACATATGTACAAAGCATTTTTTCGTTAAAAAAGAATATGTGCTGCCGCTGCTACAGTTTCTTCACATGAAAGCGATAGTTGTCAGTTTGGGAAATTATATACATATTTATAGATCGTTTACTAATTTGTTCTTTATTTTTTGTTATTTTATTTTAGTGAAAGAATTTCTAGCTAAAGCTAAAGATGAATTTCAAGTTAAATACGACAAACCAAGTCAGGTAACATGTTGGCTAAATAAACATCTATGGTAGAAAGAAATTTTAGTTGAAAAATAAAATAATTATAATGTCGATCGATTTTGATGACCGAATAAGCAATTAATATACAAAGAAAAAGAGAAAAAAAAAATTTTCTATTTTTCTTCTCTTCGGTACGCATCAGTAACATCGTATTCAGTTGGGTTATATTTAGTTCTTGTTTTTTTTTTTAATATTTTCTTCTAAAAAAAGACAAGCTATTGTGACAATTGTAAAACAAATATAAAATCAATACGAATATGAATTCGAATAAATTATAAAATGTCAATAGAGATAAAAATTATTAGATTATGCAGAGTAGATTATTTTTCTACTGAATTTCAATGCTAAAAAAGGCCCATATAGAATGAAAAAATATATAAAATATCTGTCCTACTTATCGACATTATTCTCCCTATCAGAATTTCAATGAATTGTTTCGCTTATAGATAGTACATAATAGTCTATCAAAAACTCTAAAAGATTGTGAGTTCCTATTGAGACATAATGAAGCTATTGCATTTTTAATATGCTTATTTACTAGAATGTCCTGTAAGAGTGTGAACCTTTAGAAGAATCCTATCTATGAATTTTTGTGTTGAAATGAAGTTCTTTTGATGGTCTTATAATATGAACATTTTCAAAGTTTGAAAATCTCATAGTAGTTCAAAGATAGCAAACCTTCAAGTGCAGGAAAAATATTATTGAAATCAGAACGAGACATATGAGAAGACTCCCTCCTAAAGCAAATTTAACAACTGATATATCTTCAGATTAAACGAAAATGTATGAGAATTTTTTATTGCTGCAAAGTAATTTCATTAGAATTTAAACTTAAACTAGAGTACTGTTTAAAACGATTACACTTGTCAGACTAGAGACTATGTGATCACTTCACAACATAGAGAACTCTTAGTTAGTATATGAATATTTTTGATATAATTATGTTAGAAAACATAGCATTCGTTTTTTATCCCAAAGCATAAGGTTTATGTGTAATCAACATTTTAGTTATAGTAATGAGAGTTTTCTAAAATTATAATGTCTAGTTAGACTTTTTATTATTAATATTTTTCATTTCAATTTAGAATACTGCCAAACTCGAAGATTTCGAGTGTATACGAACAATCGGAAAAGGTAAAATAATTTAATATGAAGTTACAAATTAATGGTTTAATTTTTTAATTGTAAGGTTCATTC